CCAGATCCTCCTTTTCTTACAGAGCCCTGTGTTTGGTGCATGCCTGTCTTCTCACACTGCCACTGTCGTTGACTTGCATCTCCTCCAGAGAGCCAAGGTCAGGAAGCAGTGGCCATGAGCATGCCCACGGGCACAGCCAGATCTAGACCTTGCAAATACTCTGTGCTCTCCCCTCGCTCCTGACAGTGGCCTGAACTGCTCCTCAGATGGGAGCCGAAGCCCTGCCCATGGCAGAACACCCGTGGCTGCTCTACAGCTCCATGCCCACACCCCAACCCTTTCTCCCTGTACCACACAATACCAGGCAGATGGCTCTGCTTCCGCTCCTTAAAACATGCAATTTCTCTCTCACCTAGAGCACTCCTTCCAGCCTCTCCATCCATCCCCGGAGGCCCCACACCCTACTTCAGTGCCTCTGTCCTACTCATTCATTGGTCACTTTCACCTAGGATAGGGGTCCCTCCCTGGGCTTACTCTTTCATTTCACTGTGTAGCACTGCACATAGTAAGGGCTCAAGAACAGTAAGGGGCTTATTAAATTCCTTTTAATGTCTATGAAAATGGTGCACTTCTGCCTCCCTCTCCATCCCTGGCAGGGCTACTTCACTGTTCCTGAAGACTGCTGAGTGCTCCTGGCCACCAACTTGTGACTACTACCAATGCCACCATGTGTCCCCCCCTACTGATGCCACAGAGAGTGAAAAAATCTGTCCTCAAAGGACCAGATCAAGGCTTGAGGTCAGAGAATCTTTTCCAAGGCTTAGGTAGAAGCCTGTGGGGAGAGATGTGTTCGCAGTGATTGCTGACAGCTGTTCTTCCCTTTAGCCTGGGCACTAAACAGCCTCAGATCACAGGGTAGGGACTGTTCAGCCTATGAGCTTTGGAGCATATGAAATGGGTGGGCATCAAAGGTTGAGATGTCCCCTGCTTCCCGTAAGATGCCTGTGAGATCTTATGTAAGTCTCCTAGGTTTCTAAGCATCCGTCTTTCATCTATTAGGTGTGGACCATGCAAAGACAGCCCACGGAAGATACACGGTGTTGGGAGTACGGTGCAGGTAGGAGGAAGCAGAGCTGAGCCATGAGCCCTGCTGGAGAGGCTGCAGCTGCACAGACCTGATGTCGCATCTTCAAGGAATGGATTCTGTGGCTCACTGAGTTCCTCTATATTAGCAGAATGGTGACATCGAACAATGAGTGACACAGGAAGAAAGACAGATTCCTCCCCCTGTGTGCATGGAGAAGAGCATGCCCTGTCTGCAAAATCCCCACTAAGAGCCTTCCTTTCCTTGGCCCACACATATCTGTTGGGGGGAGAGAAACTTGCCTCTTGAGAACCCAAGAAAGCTAAAAGGGTTATGATGACTGGTGGCGCCTGAAGAACGCCTACTTCTGAGGAAAGAGATAATCAGGACATCCCCCCCTCTCTGGTCAGGGTCTCCTCTACCAGGAGCCTGATGACTAGCCCTCATCTCCAAGGCAACGAAGCCAGCTCAGGGCCAGAACCACTCAGGCAACTGACAAATCCCAACTCAAGTAAAAGAAAGAGAAGCTTCAAGCTGTAAGTGACAGCTGGACATGTCATGTGACAGTCATGCATCACTTAACAAGAAGGATATATTCGGAGAAATGCATCTTTAGGTGATTTCATCATTTTGCAAACATCATTGAGTGCACTTACACAAACCTAGATGGAATGTAGTCTACTACACATCTATGCAGCCTATTGCTCCCAGGGCCATGGTGAACAAAAAGATCAGATTAAGTCCAGCACAAGAGAAAGTGGCGCCAGAAGCTTCTGGTGACATACCACCACATACTGTTTATAGAAAATCTTGTATAAGTAGAAAAAGTGCACTCTGGAATAATGATAAAATGTAATAAATATGTAAACCAAGAATATAGATGTTTATTATCATTATCCAGTGTTATCTACTGGACTTAATTGTATGTGCTGTACTTACTGGTAGTGTAGGTTTGTTTACACCAGCATCACCACAAATATGAGTAATGTGTTATGCTACGACATCACCATGGTCACGATGTCACCAGGTGATGCGAATTCTCCAGCTCCATTTAATGGTATAGAGCCAATATCTACATGGTCCAACACTGAAATGTTATTGTCATAGGCGAGAATACAGAGATCCTTGAAGCCTGTGTTATTCAAGATGGCAGCAGGATGGTGGAATTTGTATATTAAGGAAAACCTAGAGGCAGAAAGGCCAGATGTGTTTGGGACATAGAAGAAATGGCTTTGGCCGCAGGATACATGGGTCTACAGAAGGAGGGTAGGCTCAGGGTGTGAACTGTGGACTTAGAATCTGCTCTTTGTCCTGTAGGACCAGCAAGAGGTGGGATTTGAGCAGATGGGATAGAACCTCTGTCTAATGCTATGTCAGTAGCTCAGCCTTCTCTTCTGCTCCCCTCCCCTTTACTGATATATCCAAATGCATGTACATACATTTCTTTTCCCATAATATCTCCCTCTCCCTCCAGGAAGAGGTCTCCATGAATAGGTCCTGGGAAGAGGGATGCAGCTGACTTGAACAAAGCCAGGAAGTGCAGAGGGGAGTGAGAAGCTAATCTCATCTTTATGCTCTTGCTCTTGGCAGGGAGTATCTCTGAAAGTCCCAAGAACTGGGCTATTGCATGACAGCCATGAGGGAGAGCCCCTGGGGAGTGGATCCAAGTACTGGTAGCATTAGGATTCAGGGGCAGTAGCATCTCTCAGATCAGCCAAGTTGGCCCCATTTGCTCTCACTGTCACTGGGAAACATTTGTCTGTGTCTGAAGATGTTCTAGGTTGTCACGATAGGTGCTACTATCATCTAGTAGGTTTGTTGCTAAACATCCTGCAATGCAGAGGACAGCTCTCTACAACAAAGAATTATTTGGCCCAAAAGGTCAATGGTGCCAAATGAGAAGCAAGCCCTGTTCCAAAGTCTCAGATTCCAGACATAGTGGAGAAGCAGGATGCCCCCAAACTGTCTTAGTAGACCTCTGGCTGGCACACTTGCAGGTCTTCATCTTCTCCAGAGGCAATTCTGGGAGGGGACATCATGGTGAGAGAATCCCTAAGAGTGACACTTTCCAGCATGGGAGTTAGAGCCTGTTACTATAAGGCAAGTGGACATCAGAATCCCTGCTTTCCCCACTCAGCAACAAGGATTATTGGACAGAAGCTGCTGGTGGTTTCTGTACTCTGAAGGATAGAGGCAATACTGTCCCAGGACAGTAGAAGTAATTCTGGCACCTGAAAGCCACCTCAGCAGACTCTAATAACCCAGAAAGTTTGCATGGTCCATAGTCCTTTTCCCCCAGCTTCCCAGACCCTCCTGAACATGTATGTGCCCATGTGTATGCATGACAAAGAGAGAAAGAGCCCATACACATGTAAACACGGAACAGGACTCAATTTAGCAGGAAAAATCCTGCCTTGGGAGTCATCCACCTCCAGCTGCCCATCCATAGGCTCAGATCTCTAGGGACACCAGTTCAACACTTACCAAAAGCCAATGACAGCTGCCCAGTAGGTGATGAGGTGGTGGTGATACAAAGGGGCAGCAACCTTTATATAGGCCCATGTGAAAGCCAAAGGCACTGGGGGAAGACCTTCAGAATCTGAGGGTGTGGCTGTGTGCACCCCCCCACCTGGCTTCATTACTGGCTTATCACTCCACCTGTCCCTTTCCTCACCCTCAAAATGAGATAAGAATGACAGCTAACATTTGGAGACCACTTACTATGTGCCAGGCACCTTACATGCATGTCATTCTCACAACAGCCTTGTGAGAATTTTTATTACCCCAATGATACGGGTGAGAAAATGGAGGAGAAATGGCTGTTCCAAGATCACATGGCCAGCAAGCGGTGGAGCCGGTACTGGAACACAGCCGCCCAATACTGGCAGTTCTAAGGAGAGGGTGGAAGCTCCTGGGCCGATCTGCAAAGCAGGTCAGTATAGTCTGACGTTAGAAGGGGTTCCAGAGGAAAGCCCTCCATGTGGACAGCATTTATTCATGGTGGAAATTCAAATTAGGGAACTGTCCTCTACCCCGTGGGCCTGTAGTGCCAAAGGCTACCAGGCAGATGCCCATGTAAACACTCCTTAGACCCACAGCCAAGTGCCCTGCTGCTGTTGGCTGGGCAAGCTAGACCAGCTAAAAATAGAGGGTTCTCAGGTCCAGCTCCCTGACAGCAGCAGGCAGCCCCCTGTGCCCCAGCCTCCTCCCTCCCTCCCTCCTCCTTTCCCCTGAGAGCAGGAGTCAGTCTTCTAGAAGGAACAGAGATTTTACCACTTCCATTTCAGGCTAAAGAAGATAGTTAACCTGATGTCCAGTGGACACGATTTTAGTTCTGGACTAGCCATAATGCGGAGGTTGTGACCCCAACACCCACCCAACTCCCTCCTATAGAGAAAGCTGCCAACCTCCAAAACCCACCCAAAAAAATGAATGAGGCCAAGGCCAAAACCTGACCAGTTTCGGCACACCTTGCAGTTTATTCAGGAACCCCCTTGCTGTCTTTCCTTCCTTGAACTAACTCTCAATGTTGATGGCACTGTGCCATTTCTGCATTGGCCAGTGACTTTTCTCAGGAGGTCCCTTTTGGGACCCCCCTACCCCTAAGTTCCCGGAGATGGTGGGGATGAGACAGCAGCCAGCCATGGGGGAGAACAGTCCCGCAGCCCAGGATCAGCGCTTCAAGCACAGGGGGCGAGAGGCCAGGGACACCAGGAGGGACGCTCTGGAGCCCGCCGCTTCTGCGGACCACGGCCTGGGTGCAGGTCAGGGCTAGGCTTGGGGATTTCCTTTCAAAGGTGACTTAGAGCCGCTTCATTAGGATAGCGCCCTCCCGGGCGGGTCCTAATAGTGTGTTTGGCAGAGTCAGCGAAACGCGGCGCCCAGTGGCTCTGGCGGCGGGGGAGCGCCCTCTCCCGCGCCCTGTCCTCTCCCGCGCCAGGCAGCGGTGCACACGGGGCCATTTGCAAAGGAGGCAGCCTCGCGAGCAGCCGCGGCGCGCCGGCCCGGAGGGAGGTGGCACCATGGAGCTGAAGAAGGACAGTAACGCCGTGTCCATCGACATGCTGCTGATCGTGCACTCGGAGAAGCGGCGCGCCGCACAGGGCGCGCACATGGACTCGCAGGCGGACCCGGGCGCGCTGCTGCAGCGCCGAGGAGGTAAAGCGCGCCCGGCCCGGGTCCCTCGGCCCCTTGGCACCTTGGCCTCCACGTCCCAGGGCCCGCCCGCCGAGGGAAGTCTCGTATGTCCCCGAAAGAAGTCAGCAAGCCGGGTCCTCTCCCCTGTGCCTCCACGCCTTAGCACCGGCGTCCCGTGGCAACGCGTAGTCGGGTGGTTGTCCTAGCTTGACTCCCAGTGTGGGCCTGGGTGCTTCGGTCACCCGGGAGCCTGTTTCCTGGGAACCACTCCCTGAAGGGTGCAGATCAGGGTTGGAGGATGCCCTGGAGAAAGGGGGCCAGAGCTTCGGGCTGACTCATGTGTGGCAGAGGCCTGCTGCCCTATGTAGCACACTGCAGGGCACGAGGGACCCAGGGGCATCTGTGTACTGAGCCAGATTCTGAGACGAGGAGCTCCCTAGGTGGCCTTGCACAACTTATAACCTCAGTTTTCCCTTCTTCAGTCTCATTCCCAGCCTCCTACAGATAGAAAGAGCACAGGCTTGGGTGGGATGGTTCTGCTCTCTCAGTTTGAACTTGTCCATCAATGTAACTTGTTCTACAGACTTTCTGGGGAAGTGAAAAGTGGTCAAATAAAGTAACTGGTTATAGAGCAATTGTGGAAGGGGACCCTGGCCTCAACTCAGAAGCAATGTGAATAGAGTATAAATGGTTAATAATGGAGGTTCAATAAGGCCCTGAGAACCATGGGAACCTAATGTCCTGGTCTCCCAGGCTGGTATTGGGGTGCATTGGTTGCCAGTACACCAGGTCTTTGGGAGTGATGTTTGACAGCCCTTATGAGGAAATGATTTCTGCCTCCCCCGCCCCCAACTTCCCCTCCAGTTCTGGAGCTCCTTGGAGCGGGCTGCCACTCTGCCCCTGGCTCTTCTGTCCCCAAAGTCCCAATGCACATTGACCAGCCACCCTCCACCTATCCCACTAAAGCACCAATTCTGTGAATGGTCTTGTACCACAAGCCACCCAGGCTGGAGAGATCTTGGGGAAGCTGTCCAGGGAAAGAAATAGACCCTGGAGGGCTGAGAACATCGAGGGGTGCTCCAGTCTTGGGAGGATATGGGGGTCAGGAGTTGTATAAGTTAGTCGGTTCTCTAGTTCTCAGAGCAGATCCTGGGAGAAAGGGAAATAAATGGCCCACAGGGTATTTATAAGTAGGAAATCAGCAGAGGTCATCAGCTTCATGAAAGACAGGAGACTGCTCCTACTACATGCGCTACAATCCAGACCTCCCCCCATATGTATGTGCTGGAGAAGGTCCCATTCCAAGTCACCCCATGAGTTCCCACATCTTCACCCCTCTGATCATGTCTGTTCTAAAGACTCTGACACCAGAGGAGGGCAAAGGACACAAAGAAGCAGAAAATGCCAGGCAGGGACACCTCTCTGAAAGGTACCTGGTATACAGCACAGCTCCCCATGACTCTAGACCATCACATTTTGCACTCATGACCATGACTCAGGGAGGAAAGCACCCCTGCTTGATAGGAGCTGATATATTTCTACTAATATTTTCCCAATGGAGGTTTCCCAAAGATGCTATGACAGTGGAGAAAACTGTCACTCATTAACAACCAGATAGTTCTGCTCTAGAATGGAAAAAAAGGAAAGAACAAGCCTCCAATAATGCCTGCCGGTAGGTGATGTTCAGGAGACCCCAGGCCAAGTCAGTTTGCAGGCCCGCTCCTTGAGCTGCAGCCCCAAGGGACGAAAACACCAAGCAAAACTAGCTTGCCCAAGGCCTCTTATGATTACACAAGATTCCAGACAAACACCGGCCACTTGCAGGTGTCCCCTCTACATGACCGTTTCCCCACTGGGGAATGGCTCTTCCTCACCTCTGCAAATATCAGAAGAGTGAAGCTCAGTTACTGCCACAATTCAGACACTGGGTGGCCTTGTGGCAGAAAGGAGTCAGAGGGCAAGACAGCCAGGCGAGCGCAGATAGGCTAGTCGCAAGGGCTTTGGGCTGCAAAGCCAGTGGATGCTCTCTCCTTTCTTCTCTGGCTCTAGCATCTTCCCAGTTATTCCCTTAGAGCAGAACTTCTCACAAAGCTTGCTTTGGCGGGGAGAGCTCATATATACCTGTGGCAGTAGAGGAGATAGCCTGTAGCTGCCTGCACCAAGTCTGGAAGAGCTATACGCCTAGATTTTTATCCCAGAAGTTTATGTGACTCATGCATTCCATTCCACTAGTACATCAGTGGGAGTTCCAAGTGGTCTTTGGAGGACTTCACAAAAAAGAAGGGGACTAAGGTGGAATTGGGGGCTTGTGAGTGATTGCAAGTTTGGAGAGCTAGACTCGAGGCTGAGCTTCCAGGAATTGTGTCACAAAGTGTGCTACAGAGCTGGTCTGCTGAGGGAACTTCTGCAGCCACCAAGGTGCACTGGACTTTTCTTCCATGCCAGGAACTCACTTTGATTGCAGGAGCTCCCACTGCCAGAACATATGTCAGTTTCATGCCAGGAACTTGACCTTGCAGCTATCACTTCCAGCTGCTGTCAGAGAAGTCTTCCTTTCCCTTCCCCATTGCATCAGCAACAGAGTCTGACTCAGGTACATCTGATTGAGCCTAGGCCACACAGGTCCATGCTCTAGCTGTAAGGGAAGCTGGGAGAGCAGGCTACTGTCACTTTCCATTCCCATAGAGGGGTGGGCATGCCTATCTCTATGACAATTCTATTTTAACAGTTTTTTTAAATGTTTTTGAATTTTGAGGGTTGCCTTTATTTCCTCAAATGCATCTCATTTGAGGGCAGCCTCCCTTGGATCCCAAAAGAATCAACTTCCACCAGCCCCACTTTAACACAAATAAGTCTGCACTTAGTACATGCTTGCTTGCCTGGGCCTCCCTCTGCAGAGAACCTCACTCCAGTGTCCTTGTTATTTCACAGGATTCCAAGGTGTTGGAAACGGAATCCGGAAATGGCAGAAATTAGAAGGAAATGAACTTTATGGTAAATTCTCCTTTCCTTTCTGTTTTCCTTTCAACCTCTGCAATCTAATACATTGAAAAATAACTGGAAGGGTTGGGTTTCATTCATTTGAAGACTGGCTCTAGACATCTAACCTCTGAGCAAAGAATGGCTGCTTGTGATTCAGCCAGGCCTCTAGGGCTGCTGTGAACCTGGAAAGTTTTCCCTGGCATCAGGGCCTCTGCTCTCCTGGAGACTGGAGCTGGGGAGCAATGCCATGAACTTGAGCACCCACTTGTTTGCTGGCTAAGCAATAAGGGAAGACTTGGCCTCCCTTGGGGTGATGAGGTTTGATTGTGTTCCCACAGAAGATTGGTCTGCGCATGTCACAAGGCTATCCATTTATTTATTTATTTATTTATTTTCTGAACGGAGGGGATGGTGACCTGCCTTGGGCCATTGATGCCTGGGGAGGCACTAGTCAAGGATTCTGTTTATAGCTGCCTGCCGGCCTGCAGGCCTGGGACCCAGAATACAATAAGAAGTCAGTTTCCAAAGCCTCTCTCTCTCTCTGGTACTAGACATCTCTCCTCCCTGAAAACTCAGCATCCCTCTGGAAGTGGTTTGGATGGGCTGATTATAATGAGCCCTGTTCTTTGCCTTTCAGGGATTCATAATCCCAGGCTTCAGGGACAAACATCAGTGACAGTACATGTGATGATACATGAGAATTCTAATAGGAATCAGACCTGCACTCCCAGAGCCCCCCTATGGAACTCCATCAGACCCCAGCTGTGTGAGCCCTGGAATCAGATAACGGGCTTATCATATGCCAGTCTAAAAAAAAAACCACCCTCCATGACCCTTCCCAAAGGGGCAAATAGGACTGCAATTGAGTAAAACCACATAAGGATGCTCTGTCTTCCTTCTTACAGTAACAAAAGGAAAGGATGGGGTTTCAAAAGTAAGTTCATTCATTCATTCCCTCCACAAATATCTTTAGTGTCAGATACAGTTTCAGAAGAAACAGTGAACAAGGCAGTCCAGAACCCCTGTCTTTGTAGGACTACATTAAAATTATAATCATAATAACATTCATTGCTATAGAGTCTCAAAATCATGGTGGTGAAGTGTCTTCCTGTTTCCCCTGCTCAGCTCATGGGTAGAAGTCATCCTCAGGATATGCCTGCTCCTCACCAGGGAGACCACCCCTCTGTGTCCTGGCTGTTGGGCATGCATGAGTACAAAGGCTTTCTTTACTTTGTTCCTGGGACCATCAGACAGTAGACATACCAGCTTGTGCTCTAGCAGGCACCATAGCTAGTTATGGGCTAGTGAGAATTATAATCAAGACCAGACCTCCAGAAACCTGTCAGCCTCAGAAATGGCCTGCAGGGCATGCATGCTGGGCAGCGTATGAGTGGGCAAGTGGGCAAAGTAAGCCTCAGGTGGGTGCAAAGAGACACAGCATCCTTATTTACTGCAGTTCTCTCTGACCTTCCCCGGGTCTGGCATTCATCTTAGGAAATCTCAGGAATGAATTGGAATATACTGAACTCCTGCTATTTTTTACCATCTTCCAGGGTCTTGATTTTGGGGAAAGTTAGTGGAAAATACAAAATAATGCAATAACTATTTCAAGACTATTAGAAAACTCTTGTAAAAGACAGGAAGTGGGGGCTGGGGCTGGGGCTGGGGCTCAGTAGTAGCACACTTCCCTGGCATGTGTGAGTCACTGGGTTCGATTCTCAGCACTGTGTATGAATAAATAAAATAAAGGTCCATCAACAACTAAAAAAATATTTTAAAAAAAAAGATAGGAAGTGGGTCTTAGTCCATAAAGAGGATGATTAAAATAGTTCTTGCAAAACCACCTTGAGAGCTGAGAGTTTGGAGTAAATGCAGAGCTGGGAAGGGAATCGACAGAGTCCTGGTTCCAGAAAAGATGATGGTTTTACCACTCCACCAATGCATGTAATTCAAAGTGAATTTTCATTTATTTTTCAAATGGCATGTTTGTAATAGGCCAAAATTAAAACAGAAAGAAGAAGATGCCTTACTTCTTTCTGTGTTTCTAAATTCCAAGATCTGGGCTTCAGGTATTGAAGCTCATCTTTTCTCATACATGCCCTGGTGGAGCCCAAGACACCCATTCCTGGTGACCAGCAGGCCGCCCAGCCCTGGCAACTGGATACTTTCATCTCAGAAGGAAGCAGCTGATGGCCTGGGCTGGTAGAGTGTGCACCAATGAACATGGCATTGATCCAGAAGGGCACATTTTTCCCCCTGTTGCTGCCCTATACACTCCTTGGACCTGGGTGTTGGCAGGTGTGGGGAGGGGGCCCTGGAGAGCTCCAAACTTTTAGAAGCAGCAGGTGTTGGCACTGAGCCACACTGCCACCCATAGCTTGCCCAGCAACGGGCTTCCCCTGCTGTGATTGGCTGCTTTCCTTGGTCCTGGCCAAAGTCTGCCTAGCAGCACAGTATCCAATGCCCTACAGCTAGAGGGAAACCAGTCATAGAGCCCTGACTATAAATACCGCACAGAAGCTATGCCAGCCAATCACCCTCCTTGAGGATTCCCTTCCCGGATCCTGTTTCCTCCTGGAGATGCAGCCAGCTGTGCCCACAAGAGGCAGCCTCCCTGTCCTGCCTGGTTCTGGCCTGGGGCTCCAAACCAACATGCCATATCACCCTGCATTGGCAGACACAGCCTAGCCTCGGCTAACTAACCCTGGCCTGGGGGCTTCAGGGGCCTGGTTCAGCTTATTCACCAGAGAAGACTAGAGCAGTCAGGCTTGTCCCAGGGAAGGCCCTGCCAGGTGGATCACAGATCCTGACCAGCTCAGGGTCCCCTTTCCCATCCACCTCAACTGGCTTCTGCTTGGGATCAGGCATGGGAAGCATCTGAGTGACCCATTTGGTTGAATGTACAAAAGGAGTCATTCAAATGGAATCTGTTCAGCTCAGCACCCCAGGAACAAACTAATTCCCAGGCTGAGGCATTAGTTCCAGTGGTCATTCCCTGTGGCAGGCCTGCTGCAGGCCAGCCGGAGGCCAGAGGAAGAAGATGGCAGGACAGGGTGGTCGTGGTGGAACCACCTATTGCCATAGTCTGGCCCTTCCCCAGCTCCTCCTCTGTCCCCTGAAGCAGAGGTTCAAGGGCAGCTTCCGTAAGACCAAGGTACAGCCCCGGCAGCCAATAGGCAGCAGGGATGAGGGAGAGGTCATGCTTCTCATAGGAGAAGCAGGGAAGCCTGAAGATTCCCCTTTGATTGCCTATGGCAGAGCCTAGGCATCTCTCTGCAGTAGCCTGACCCTACTAGGCTCTAAGGACAAGTGGTTTTCAAAGGACAGAAATATCTATGGTGTATAGATAGAACCTGTCCTGTGATGTTTATGAAACTGAATCAAACTGCACATTGTCCCCACTCCAAGGCTGGCATAATGACAGCTGCCCCTTGTTCTCCTAACAGAGAGGTGGGAAGCTAAGATTTAAGAAACTTGGTGTTCAAGTTCCAAGTCAGAACCTCCCATATGTGGAGATCGCATGAGGTCTCCATGCATGTGAGAGTATGCAGTGACACCTGTCAGTGTTGTGTTATGGCTAATGTTGTGTTATGGCTCCACAACATTAGGGGTATTACCGGCTTGGTCCTGTGAGCCCCAGCCTGCGCTGGCTCCTGCTGGCAGGTGGAAGGGGCATGTGCACATGGGCTCCCAGGCATTTGCCTCCATATTCAGGTGCATCTCTGTGCCGGTTCACAGGTGGTGTGCACACCATGGGGGTGTCCACGGGGGTGTGCATGTGAATGGGCCAGGCCTGTGGATGTGCTCAAGCCTGCCTTTCTTGCAGATGCACACAGCTCCCTGCTCTGCCCAGGGAAAATTCCACTGTGTTCCCAGTGGTCACTGCAGGCCTCTCTGTCTTCCTTAAATAGGAAACCTGGCAGAGAAGCAGCACCCTCAGCAGCCCCAGGTCATCACTTCCTATGACAACCAAGGTAAGTGACTCGCTCACTAGTGGTGACCTCTCCTGTGACTGTCCCCCCGGTTCTGCTGCCCCAGCCAGAGACAGACCTGGATGTGGAGCTCAGACCTTGGAGAGCAGCTCCTCTCTGCGCCCGTGGAGGTTGGAGCAAGCACCCTTGTCCTCTCCTGGCATCCCAGAGGAAGCCCTGGGAGGTTTCATGGTCTGTGTCTGCCCTTCATCAAAGGTCAAAAAATAAAGTCCTGCTGGGCACAATGGCACACACCTGTAATCCCAGCAGCTCAGGAGGCTGAGACAGGAGGATCGCGAGTTCAAAGCCAGCCTCAACAAAAAGCGAGCCGCTAAACAACTCAGTGAGACCCTGTCTGTAAATTAAAAATACAAAAAAATAGGACAGGGGATATGGCTCAGTGGTCTAGTGCCCCTGAGTTCAAACCCTGGTACCTCTGCCCAAAATAAAGTCCTTGTGCCACCAAACCCCATCATCATCGTCACCACCATCATCGCCATCACTATAGCTAACCTTTATTGAGTGCTAACCCTGTGCCAGGCACTCTGCCAAGCCATTTACATATTTATTCTCACGGACATTAAGCTTCTCAGCAATTCTATTTGATAGGTGCTCTCACGGTCCTCATTTTACAGATGGGTAAACTGAGGCTTGGAAAGGCTGTCATATATCCAAGATCACATGGCCAGCAGGAATCAAAGTCGGCACTTTGATCCGTTGCCCTCTACCCCTCAGCAAGGTCTCAGCTGTTACCCGGCTCAGCTTCTGCAATTCCCCTGGAAACCGATCTCCCCCTGCTGGCTGATGGTGTCCAAGCCCTTCCCTTCAGTGGCTCCTTGGCCTCTCCTGAAACTGAGCCTGCCAAGAGCTTTCCACCTAGTGCCAAGATGGAGTGATAGGGCCCTTCCTTGAGAATGCTTACTTTTCCAGGACAGGTTCAGGGGAGCTCAGGAACGGCAGGCAATAGCATCACCAGGCTGATTCTGCAATCAGCTGGATCTGGGAGCATGACAGGATAGAGATAGGAGGTCATGGCTGGAGGTGAGGGCTGATCAGAGACCCCCCACACCCACCATGGTTGTTAACAGCTCTTCAGTAGAGTCTCATGGCCTGGTGTCGGAGGACCCTCAAAGGCTCAGCCCAAAGAGTTTGTCACCAGGGCCCTGAAATCCTAACCTGCAAGGAAATTATCTGATGACATCCGGGGCGGGGATAGTGGTACCCCCTCCCTTCTGAAGCAGGAAGCCTCTGGAGACTCAAGGGGACTCAGAGCCTCTCGGGGAATTGCTCTCTGAAATGCAGGCCTCCTCCACATCTTCACAGAAAGGCGCTGGCAGGTAGTGAGCAAGGGCCAGTCAACTCGGGTCACCAGCATGAGAGCCCGAGGGAGCCAGCTGTCTTTGCATTCTGTGTTTTATGCTAGAATTCCTGGGACTGCAGCCCAGGATAGACACTAGAGCCCAGTTAGTGGGCCCAGCAAGACCTGCCACCTGCCCTGACCACCATATGGACAAGCCCGGGCCCTGCTGTTTCTCTGAAATGAACTTAACTGCACGTGGCTCATGAGCTACCTTGCTAGAAAGAGAATAGACTAGCCGGCCACTGGTGTCACTTAGCCACACAGACAGAGGTTCCGGGTCTTGTGCATCCGACCTCTTGCGAGGAAGGGAGGACGATCCTAACCAAGTGAAACTCAGTGAGACAGGGGAGGCCGAAGCAGAAAGGATGATGGGGTGCAGGGGACCTGCTAGCAAATTTCCATCAACGTGGTAGCTTTCACAATTCAAAAATACTGACACTTCTGGAGTGGAAATCTAAAATCAGCTGCCCTGGGCTTTTGGAGGCTCTGGGGAGGAAGTCATTCCTGGCCTCTTCCGGCCCCTGGATCTGTTGGTGCTCTTGACTTGTGGTTAGTATTCCCGTCTCTGCTTTCATTACCACCTACCTTTTCTCCCCACGAGCAGTTGAGTCTCCCCATCTCCCTCTTATAAGGATATATATGGTTGCATTTAGGGCCCGGCGGCAGCCAGGATAATCTCTCTACCTGCCGAGTCTGCATTTAAGGATATCTGCAAAGTTCGCTTGCCATAGAAAGCAACTTTCACAGCTTCCACAGGTCCTGGCACGCTTATCTGTAAGGGCCATAATTCATCCTACCATGAGGGATCAAAATAGAGTAGGTGAGAAAGGCCTCATTGAGAAGGTGACATTTGAACCAGGAAGGAGGGGAGGGAGCAAGCCATGAGGGCATCTGGGGAAGACCTTTCAGCAGAGGGAGCCATGGGGTGCAGAGGCCTGAGGCAGGATCCAGGGAGCAGGTGGCTGTGGCTGGAAGGGGAGGGAGGGGTATGGTTAGGGGAGGGAAGGAGAAAATGAGTCCGAGAGGATCTAGGGTAAGACATGCAGGGCCTGGGGCTACCGTAGGCATGCTGGCTTCTAATCTGAGTGTGTTAGAAATTATTGGATGGTTTGGGACACGACCGCTTCCAACGTGTGGAGAATAAACTGAAGGGGCCAAGGTTGAAAGCGAGAAGACCCCCTAGGAGGCATGATCCTGTAGCAAGTTTTTCCTGTGGTCTGGATCCCAGATGTGAGTCAAGGACAGGACCTAAACAGTGGGGAGGATGAAGGGAGAGGAGATGCGGTGGGATGGGTTCAAGAAGAAACATGAAGAGTTCAGATTTGGCCCTGTTGAGGTTGCTGCCAGCACTTATCACATTCGAAAACAGTGACTTACTCCAGTCAGTGTTTCCCATGTTACTTTGTCCTTATCCAATGAGCCTTGGACTTCTTAAGCTCTGTTCTCTGGACTACCAGAAGCTCTATCTATCACAGTAAATACAGTGACTTACTATGTGCCAGACATCGAGCTGAGCAACTTTTATAACTCACCTCATTTAATCTTCACAACTACACTCTGGGGATGGGGTTATCACCCCCATTTTACAAATGGGGAAACTGAGGTTCATAGAAGTTTAAATAACTTGCCCGAAGTAACACAGCTAGCAAAGCCAGACCCAGGAGCTGAACCATACCTGAACATTCCCAGAGCCAGTGGGCTTAACTAGTCCACCATGCCACTTCCTCCATAAAGGACAGGGACAGATATGGTGGCCAAGTTGGATGCAGGACCTCCATCCCACTCCCAAAAAGAAACCCAAGATTTCACCCAGAGGTGGCTGTTCAGAACTCTCAGGTCTTCATAAGACGGATCTGTGATGCACGTATGGATTGGAAGACAGGAGAGTGATCTGTAAGAGGCCCTGTGACTTCAGGTCCAGCGGGTTATTTTGAGGAGTCAGTGTTCTTTCAGGCTCCTGTCCTTCTAGTCATCAGCTCTTAGCACCAAGCAAACACTCTTGGACCAGAAGGGGAGCAACCTTCATTGATCATGCATGAGCTTGGGGACACTGCCACATTTGCAGACCTGGGACTTCCTTGTGGAGCTCCATTCTGCAAAAGGAGTCATGAATGTTCCTGTGTTTTCAAGGTCCATAGGAAACCAGGGGTGGTGGGGACTGTGAGAGAAACCTGTCATCTCACACATCAGCAGGGGCCCACACAAGTTCAGCCCTGAGCTATGGCACCCTGGGGTGTCCTGTCATACCAGAGCAGCTAATACGGAAGGGGGGCCTTCATGCTGCATCTGGTAATACCTATTGAGGTGGTGCTCTGTTGATGTTCCACAGAACCGGACATTTTCTTGTCCCCACCTAGCATGTTGGAATGTTACAGCTCACCACTTCCTGACTACAGCACCCTGGGCAGGACCACAGCACACCTCTGTTGAATACCTGCCCAGGGTCTGTTTAAGGTTGTTTTTACAACGACAAAAGCTTTAACTAAAGTTTTCCCAACTGTCAGCTAATAGAGGAAAAATTTCCAAGGCAAATAATCCAGGTCGTAAGCATGGCAGCCTGTTATAGAAAGAGTTAATGAGACCTTAAGTAGGGGATGCAAAGTATCTAATGGCAATCCGGCAGCTCTGCTCACACATGTCTACTCATGCATGGGTGCACACTCACACACACACACTCACACGCATGCACACACTCACATGCACCCACACACTCACATATCTGGCAATCTTTGTTAATTGATCAGAGCTCCAGGCAGCCACTTCCAATCAGTCAGAGCTAATGAACAACACGAAACCTGTTTGCCCTCCCTGCATTAGGTATTCTGAGCAAATTAGGCCTTTGCACACATCCTGATTGAAACCTGAAGATATCTGGAGAGGAGATGTCAGGCAGGAGAAGCATCCTGACTGGATAAAAGGCAGGCCCAAGGCGGTACACACACAGCTGAGCTTGTTTGCTCCTGTGCATCTCCACTTCTGAGAGGGTCAGAAAGGAAGACAAGCCAGTGGGGTTTGGGAAAATGGCCTGGGAGCCACCTCGTGGGGTTCGTGGGAAATAATCTCTAACATGCTTTTAAATGCTTTTTAATGCTTTTAAAATGGCCAGAGCTGCAGTTTCAAAAATGCTGTCTGGGTGACAGCTAGTAGAGCAGAGGAAGGGTGCCCTGAGAGAGGCGGGACAGGCCATCTAGAGTCCCATGAACATCTCATCTGAATGGGATTCAGTTGCACTTAGAGCTGACTGTGAATATTATTCCACATGTCGACTCTATAATTAGAGATTGATCAAGTTAACTTTTTTTTTTCTTAAAAGAGATTTATTTGATACAGGAATGTCAAAGCCCACAGACCCTCAGTAGTTCATGCTTTTAGGAAACTTGAAGCTCTCTAGTGAATGCTACCCACCTTGAGACCACATGCCCACCCCACCCTTGGTCCTGGAGCCAGAGAAACCTCCCGGAAGTGCCCTCAGGCACCTGTGAATGAAAGCAGGATTCACACTCCCACAGATCAAGGAGGCCAGAGCTTCGCTCTTTTCTTTGAGGCAGTGATCAGCATGAGCACAGCTTTGGAGAAAAGTCAGGAAATGGGACTGAGGAGAATGTCAGACATTGACCCCTGTCCAAGAGGAAAGGGGAACCTC